CGCCCAGGTCACATGTGACCGACAGATACGCACTTAGATACACTGTTTTAAACCGATTACAGTTTAATTGCAATTTAATTTTTGTTTCGACCAGTTAGATTTTTCTTGGCACGGGAGGGTGTGAGTAACCTAGTCAAAATATTCACAAAATTACTTTTTCTTTTCGCTTGAAAAAAATAATACACATTTTAAATGTCGTAATGAAATGTTTTCGGATCAACTGGTTATTACGCGTAACGTAGATACAAGTGTGAATCTGACTTAAATCGTAATTTCGTAATCCGTAATTTCGAATCAATCAATTTAATTATTATAACGGAGGAAAATGTACGAATGTATAGTGAAATATTACGGCCTATTTTTTTCTTGTGAACAACTTTACTTTCTTACCATCAATTTTGCTCCGATTTACAATGATATCACTTTTTCTAAAAGGAAATCTGACTGGGGTGACACCTTAAACAGGTCATTTTTTTGATTTTATTAAAAGTTTTCCAAATAAATGGGAAAAACGTGAAAATGGATACTAACAATATTAAACAAATATTATGAAGAAAGATATATAATCCCGATATGTAATTATTTGACTATAATATAAGATATTTATTGTATATAAAGTAACACAATCAATTGAACTCTATTTTCAGAATCGTTTTTTTTTTCGTTAACAATAGTTTATCTTTGCTTACAAATGTACATTAAATTTCTCTAAGTAAAAAAAAAAGAAAATATCGCATAAATATAAACAAATAGCCACTAATACGTATAGTAACAGGAAACCAAGTTGAAATTGAATAACAATTGAAAAACCGTGCTAATTTGTGTTAATCCATCGACCAGCTCTACAGGGCAAACGACTGAATATATATAAATTCGTATAAGGTATTAATCGATCAGAAATATTGTGCAAATAAGAACAGAGCAACTCACAAGCAGATTGGTTAAATGAATTAAAAATTACAACCAAAAATATTCAAGTACTTTCAAGTCCGATTTTTCATATTCTACAAAAATATCGTTAAATATCTACTCTCGGTGCTGCAACTTTTTAATGTTATAAAATGCCATTTTATTTATTAGTTTCCATATAATATCACGTCTTTTAAAGAATTAAACATTATTAAGTTAAATTTTTTTAACTTAAGTTTTTTTTTTTTTTTACACGAAATTATAACGAAGTGTTTTTGATGTAATCATTAAATACATTCTTTGCTTTTATTTAAATATTAAATTAAATATATGCATCTTTGTGACATACCAAAATTATTTATTATTTTATCTTTATCAATTTTAGTGCTTAAATCTCTCTCAATATTAATAACTGAATAATCACTTGTTTTATTAATGTTGATAACAATCTCATTTTGTTAAATTTTGAGATATGCATTGTTGCATTTAGTGATGATACAGTCTAAAAATTGATAAGCTTTCTATCGCGAGCAAAATTCTGGGGTTGCTATGCGCCCCCAAGCGCTCCCCGATTTGCGCCAATGATGACATCCAATGATATATTCTAATCTACTTAAATTAATGACATTAAAAATAATTCAATCACGTGATTATACAAACAATTTAAAATAGATATCAAAGCTTTACTCTAAAATTTTTTTTTCTACATTATTTCTGTGTTTACCATCTTATTAATTTATTTGTTTTGTTATATTATACAAACTAACAAGGTCTTTGTGTAGTAGTTAATAGAAACCAATACTTCAATATATGTATGTATATATTTTTTTTTGTAATAACTAATTATTGATGAGTAATTTAATAATATTATATAATTGCATTTAGCCAACTTATAATTATGTTTTTATTTGTCAATAATGTACATAAACTGATTGCTAAATCAATGCTGAAAACTGTTGTTTCAATTCATACAGGGTTATTTATTAAGTATGCTCGCCCCATTTTCAAGATTAAATTATGCACATATAGTGTAGTTAAAGACGATATTTTTTATATTCATGTTGATTTTTCACAACATTTAAGGATTATCATGTGACGATACCAACTTAGATTTTTCAAATAAGAACCTACATTAAAAATTTATAAATAGGTGGAAAATATTAAATTATTAATTAGCTTTTTAGTGTTGAAATTTTTTGATTTTCGTCAATTCGTTCACGAGATATTCTACTTTTAAGTGTAAGCAGTGGAAGAGCATAGAACTATTCAAACACCAGGCGCTGTTCCGCAACAAAAATTATGGACTGCCTGAAAATAATTTGTAGAATATTTCATGAACGAGTAGACGGAAATCAACAATTTCAACATCAGAATTTATTTTATCTAATATTACATTTATTTAATGGAATTTTTAATGTAGGTTCTCGTTTGAAAAACCAAAGTAAGTCTCACCAGCAGAATACTCCTTAAATATTGTGAAAAATCTAAGTATACGAATGTATCGTCTTTAACTACACTTCAAAATTCATACTTGAGTCGATGTGAGATCGATCTCTTTAAAATGTGTACTCAAAAGGATTTCAGTTATTACACAATATATTGTAAATACTTTTACGTTTTACATTTAAACAATTTTTCCAAAAAGTAAATTACTATTTTTAACCACATCTACAAAATAAATAAGAGTATAGACAGTTTAAACCTAAATCTTTGCGATATTAATGAGAAGGAAAATGCTGATTAATAAATAATTATTACAAATAAAATATAATAATATAAATTCAATGTTATTTAATAATTTAAATAACTAATATTATTTCGAATTTGGTACGTAAACCATCAATTCAGTGACTGCAACTCGTAAACATTGTTTAAAAACCGTTCTCAAAACCTAAACCGAAAACAAAACGATTACTTCAAAAACTATATTCTCAAGACCCAAATCGTTACTGAAGATTGTAAAAAACCGTTCGCAAAACCGAGACTATTAAAATCATTAAGGGTTTCAAATTTTCAATCACTTTTACAAGTTAACTGCAGCTATATTGTTATTAAATATTGCTATATTCTTCGTACGAAGAAAATATGTTTGAATTTTTTAAGAATATTTCTGAAAACAATTTCACTATAATTGTACAAAAATACATGAATAATCGAGAGTATAAAAAAAAAAAAGGAATTAATTATGTATCATGGATTGATATGAAGGTAAACTAAACCGTACCTGCACTGTAAAAATCTATTTTTGTTAAGTTTACACATTTTTCTCGTCGTTTTAATAATATTTTTAACCACATGAAGGTTCATATGGTTCATAATATCATAGGTATATTATAATGGGCACCTAATAATTAGGTATCTACTCTACGAGACGATTTGTTCATGTCTACAGAGGTAAACATGATCGAAACTGTACGACGTGATAGTGAGAAATAAGATGCATAAATCATCATAATATACCCAAGAACTCTCTAGATTTCTCCTTTTTTTAGTACAGCCTCCACGAAAACTATAAAATTAAATGTAACTTTATAAATTGTCTAATGTTCTCATCGCGCCTATTGTAAGTACTGTTATTATTTCAAAATACTGACTTACTTGCGAGTTAACAGTCTATGAAATCCTTTATTTGACTACACGAAAACCGATACTAAATAATTTATTATTTTTAAAATATGCGAGATATATATTAGTTTAATTTTACTATGAAGTTCGCTTTCAAAATTCTGAGCGAAGCGAAAAATGTCTTTTAGCCTTATATTGATATGTTATTTTGTTTATGCAAACAACTTTTTTACCAGAAATCTTGTTACAGTAAAAATCTTGATAAAAAAAACTTTCTTATAATAATTTTTATCTAGTAGGTACATTAGTGAGGTAATTTTATGATTTTTTTTAAAATTTTTTTTAATAACTCAAAAGAATAGGTAATTTTTGGTATAATTATTGTTGATTTCTGCCAACAAGGGAACAAATACGAATGATAATGCTCCAGTCAGAATTGTTTTTCTTTGATAATGATTATCGTTACGTACAACTATAAATTAAAATACTACATAAAGATTCATTCCTGACTACCATCGTAAAACAGTGGCACACACACCAATCGTATCAGTTTTTTTTGTGCTTGTATACAAGTTTTCTACAAAAAACCATTTTCCGATTATCAACTTCAGAAGTGGTTCTTAGTAGAAAGCTTTGTTTAGTTGATATATCAAATAAGTCATCTTTTGAAAAAGTACAAATTGTGATAAAAATTCTATAAGATCACGGCATTTCCGATTTCTTCTGTTTTCAGATTTTAGCAGATAAAATTTTTTTAGGATTCTAGCCCCATACACATACTGAAACATTTGAGACGAAGAAACACAAACAACTATATTGGATTCCGAGCGTAGCGGGAGAGCTATTGGTTTTACAATGCTGTTAATTTTATTTTTTTTATTTTTTACAGTGATACTTTGGTTTTTTTTTTTATATATGTATACTGTAGACCACAGTTTTTCCGTTTTCCTACGGTTTTTTTTTTATCGGTTTTCCAATTATAATAAAAACCGTATGGAAAATCATAAATTACTTTCTTAAAGTTCTAACACGATAACATTTTCTTTCAGGAAAGGTACTTCACTTGAAAATTGGAGCAAGATTTCTTGTAGAAATGATGCACGCAATATATATATAAAAAAAAAAAACCGTTTAAAACAGACAATACATTCCTCTATCATGTATATATATATATTATTAGAATATTTCACAACATACAATATTTCTAGCGAACCGATGAGCGTATGTAATTGTTGTTTTTTATGAAAATATTTGTGAAATAATTCTTACTAATTACCACTGAATATTTGAATTTGACGAGTGTTTAGAAATAAGGACATAGTTAGATTCGTCGAAAATATAATAATGCGTTATCATTACACATTACTTTACTGATACGTGCGATGCAGTGACAGTGTTAATATACTAATAGGTTAGGTCAATTACTATCGTATTTCATCATTGTATAACAAAGAACACTAGTAATTATATTACGGTATTTTATTATTATTATTATTATTATTATTATTGTTACTCAGTATTTAACGGAAAGATTTTCTAACCAGTTAATTACTTTTAGGATACGACTCACATAAGGAGGGTCTGTCATTCTGCAGGCGTTAGCCTGCGTAATATTGCATTATTTATTAGTTTTTCATTTGTTCGCCAATATTGGCATACATTGTGTTAATATTTTTACAGTATTGTCTTAATGAAAATAATCAGAAAACTTCGTATATACCAATTGATCGGCTAAACGAGTAAGCGTTAAAATACAGTATATTAATATTATTTTATTCAATAATCTGTTAAAAAATTAGTATTTAGTTGAAAGTCATAAATTCACTCAGTTTCGTTCAATTTTCAATTTTTGTCGACGAACAAGTCTAGCCTATAGTGTTTTAAAATTTTTCGTTCAATTACGTATCAGTAATTTTAACCTTATTCAGACGGTATTGGAATCGTATTTACACAAATTCATCTATTTATCTATGATTTACTAATCAAAGACAGGATTTTTCATATGATTTTCTGGAAGTAATTTGCAGTCGAATTTATCATATACAAAGTTTTGAAAATTGCCATACAATAGAGGTCGGTGTGCTACAACTTGAAGCCGAATACGAAAACAGAATTTTTTTTTTTTTTATTTGTTTATTACCTTGGTGACACAAGTGAAAAAAAATGAAAATAAATTTGTTTTATTTTTACGAAAAAAGAAGCACAATAACGGTTAACTGTGAAGTGGAGGGTAAAACCGAAAAACCTATATTTATTAATTTTGATTTTTTTTTTTAAATTTTTCTTGGGGAATCATAAAATTGGTACAGCAACGTCGAGTAACTAGTAATTTAATGTTCTATAGTAATTATTTGTATGGATAGTATTTCCTTTTCAATACAAGACGAAATATCTATACATGAATACCTTTTTTATCGTATTATTTTGTGAAAATATACACATTTTTATATGTCGTGGATCCGGGGTGGAGGTATTATGGTAATTAGTCCCCTCCGTCCCCTCTTGAACACCGTAGTATACCTAGATTGTTTTTTTTATTGTATTCCGGTAAAATATGTAATATATATATATATATCAATATTCGTCGTAGTAAATGGTATTGCCCCTCCATCCTACAATTAATGTTTGGATCACTGAGACGTTCAAATATAAATATTAACTATATAAATAGTTACCCCGTTTACCAACGACGAGACAAAATATGTTATAATTTCTCCCATTCGGCGTACAAGGGAGAAACTTTTTTATCGCACAGAAAAAACAGCACAGGATAGCTGTATCGTGATACTTTGTAATAATAATATAATTATATTTTACTTGAATGCATAATATGTTATCTTTTTATACCACTGGGCTCAAATTTTATGCTGCAAATAACTGAAATATGCGCTATAATATGTCCTACAATTTTTAAAATAATCTATGAAAGTATACCATGAAAACATGAAAAATTACTAAAAAGAAAATATATATATATATATATTTTAAATTTCATTTTTTTTTTTTTTAATGTATAAATGAAAGAAGTTATAAATGTAAACTGTTCGATGAGTGAATTAGCTGGGCTACTTGAAAATAATATTATAATATGTAATGAAAATGTATGTATTTTTCCAATGTGTTCACATAAATGAGAGATTTTTTTTTACTATTTACGAAAAATAAAAAATAAATCATTATATTATGCGTATTAGCAAAAAATAGCACCAAAAATTAAAAAATTGCACTACAAAACTAAAATACTTCAAGTATTTAAAAAAAATGTAATATTTTGCGAATAAAACAAAATGTAAAGATCACCCTGCTACATTTACCTGTACCTTATAATAACTAGCGAATACTATAAAATCCAAGTCCCGAGTATAATATATCAATAATAGTTCATAAAAATAACCATCCGTCTTACATACTCGGACTGTTATTATCAATAATCATTATAAATTATAATAATCTCGATAATTACTAATATAACATAACAACATAATGATATAAGTGATGGCGAAATTCATGTATAACTATAGATAATATTGTTATAATAATGTGAATTACTATATTATAATCCGTAATTATTTACGCAAGAACAACGTGATAAATATTTGGTTGTTACTTTTACTGAAAGTTTGTTGTTTTTTTTTTTTTTTTTTATAGTATAATATATAATATTATTTCGACGCAACACTACACATTATACCTACTTGCAATGTTTTACTCCATGATAAACACAAAAACAAACGTATTTTTAAATAGAAACATTCGGTATATTATTGTAACGGGCATAACATCGAACGTATAATAATTCAGTTGTTTGCGATTTATTCGATTAGGTTTTTCACGATTTCTACATAGTTACTCAAAATAGGTATGATTTTGTACCGGTCGAGTGCATAGCAATGTTTTTGGATAACGCTCAAAACTACACACAGTAATCTTATTGTAAATTTCAAAACGTTCAACTATTTCCAGGAGGCTACTTTTTAGGGCCAATATTATTAGGACCCAGGATACATCCAGGATTTTTTTTTAAGGAGGAGTTACTAAATAAAATTGTTTAAGGCCACATGGTATGATTGGTATTCTACATTATTATAAAATGAATCAAAATAGTTTTAAAAAGTGTTTTATTCTTTGAAAATAATACTTTTTTAGATTCTGAGTAGAGCGAAGAAGCAATGGTTAGGTTTTTTTCTGTGAACAACTTTTCTACCAGAAATATTACTCCGATTTACAAGCATAGCACTTTTTCTGAAAGGAAATTTGACTGAGAAGGTACTTTAAGGAAGTAATTTTTTATTTTTCATAGAATTTCTCTCAATAAATAGGAAAAAACGTGAAAAACATGAAATGGTTATGAAAATAGGTACAACGTTAAATAAATATTGTTAAAGAAAATGTTTGATCCATATGTAATTATTTTACCATAATATAACATATATATCGTTGACAAAGCAACCCTTTTAACTGAACTTCACTCAGAATCGTTTTTTCGTTAGGAATGGTTAATCGCTGATATATATTAAATATGTATATAATATCATATATATCTGTATTCTACCAAATACCTTCCCAACTTCTCATCTACAACAGTGGCTACACCCGTACCCATTATGCTTAGACAGCTTTTTAGTTTCATTTTATAGTGGAAATACTTTAAGTAATTAGTTTTATTTGGTCGGTGCTCCAAATTCTTCACACATTACTTTAAAAGATGCCTAATTTTTCAGCTGGTGGTTTTTGATTGAAAATTTTTTCGGAATTCACAATAATTAAAATATAACCCATAATCATATTACCTATCATCATATAATATCAATAGTATTCTTCGATCCATCTGAACTTAACCTTACATTTTTTTGAAAATACTGTTTTATCTATATTATTCGAATAAATATTCTGAATACTATTTTATACACGTATTGGATTATGTATTCTAAGTACTTTTAAAAAAAATTTTACCCAAGTCTGGTTACATATTATTATATGTAATATACTTCAGTTTTGGTAATTTATAATTTTTCCCATGTAAAAATTTGAAGTCTGTAACTTTTAAAATTAATAATTTGATTTCAAACAGTTCAACCATTAGGCGAGGTTTAAGGTACTGAATTATTATTATTATTTTTTTTTTTATTGTTATGTTAAACATAGAACCACTACAGAACTATAGATAATTACTATTTTTATACGATATGTATAAATTTACGATTCATTTTGAAAGGCCAAAGAGGCAAATTTTACTAGCAAAAATTAACTGTGGACCAGATGATTCCCTGAACCTCCAACTAGATCCACCACTGATTGCAGATCGTCATACCTATAATGTTACATTGCATTACAAATGTATTCTTTAAGACATAATATTTTTAGTATGGAATTGTACAATATACATTAATAAAATAACGATGTTTTAGGTTTTGAACGGAGCGATAAAGTTCCATGCTTTTACATCGCACGAAAAAATGTTGAAAATGGATTTTAAAATACTTTTTATACTTGCAATTACTGTAGTTTTAGTATGTCCGTCACTTTTAACCTCGTAAGTATATCTATTATCCATGATTAAATAAACAAGTTGTGTCAGCAAAAATACGTGTTTTTCCTATCACCACGCATGTGACCACAACTCGGAAGAAACGAAAAGATAACCATCCATTCTGTTCAATAACCGTGATAAAAACAAGACGATCTAGTATCAAATCATTTCTTGTGTCGTGGCTTTATCGTTTATTCCAAGACGGAAGTTCATATCATGTGCAAAACAATTTCAATGACACACGCCTGTTTATTTACTTATGGTTTATCCTTCGGATTATTGTTGAATATAATATCATAAAATCAATTTTTTAGAATTTCTTCCACGGCTCCTAAACTATTGGCTCTAGAAAAGAATAGTGATGAAGACAATCAAATGAGCGGTAATGCATTTAAAAAAATATTTAAACGCGAGCATACAGAGCGATTCATTTTATATATGTTCAAATACTGATTTTTGACAATATTTAAGAAATCTAAAATCTTTAAAAAAAATATCTTTATTTATTCACTTAAAATTAAAAATTAAAGATGTATTTAATAACCAACAACTTAAGGCCCATACTGGCTACTTTTATTGGGCAATTGCAGTTACCACTCAAAATATTCCCTAAACCAGTAGGGTTTTTGGGGGGCATCTACTATTACCACCCAGAGAAAAAAAAAATGACTATAATTTATCTGTAGTGTAGGTAAATTAACATAATATATTATGTAGTATATGATAAACATAAAAGTATGACAAAAGGAAAATAAAAATATTTCATATTCTCTCATTTGGCGAAACTTTAAGTAAGATTATAGTAAATGTTAACCATTGTTATCATAAAAAAATGATTTTTAAATATATAAAAATGATATAACGATATAATAATACATATACTTCTCGCGAGTATAATAAACACTGTTATAATTGAGTAGTCGCGAATGTCGATTTATAGAGTAATTTATTACATACTGTTAATGACGATAAATCATTGAAAATGAAAAAAAACGATTCTGAACAAAATTCTAATCTCTTGTTAATAGTATTAGTTGTGCTTTGCTATTTATCTGAGGTAACTCAGAAATAAACAAAAATAAAATTAATGTATCATCATTATTTGTTATTTTTTCTTTTTTTTTTATGTGAAAACTTTTTCTACCAGAAAGCATATACCGATTATCAAGTATGGTACTTTTTTTGTAAGGAAATGTTCTGTGGGTGGTACTTTAGAGAGTTATTTTTTTTTTAAATCCTCATTAATATTCGAGATAATGAGGAAAATCTGGTTCTTTACGTTAAATAAACATTGAAAAAATATAGGTTGTCATTGGCAACCGTTTTTATTAATTTTTTTTTATTATTTTAAAATCTTTCTTAAACAATCATTGTCGTCATGGAAACACTAATTGTTGTAATTATTTTACCATAATATGTATATATTTTTGACAAAGCAACACTATCAGCTGAACTCCGCTCACAATTGTCTTTTCGATAGCAATGGTTTATCGTTGCTTACAAATATACATTAAATTCCTGTCGGTAAACTGACTTTCCGAATTTCCATCTACAAAAGGAGCTGCACACACATTCGAAATATATCCTTTCTTTTTTTTATTATTTCATAGATTTACTGTGGGGAATCTGGACATTTTTTACTAGTAAATGAAAAATTCGCATCTTTTAAATACGATTCGTACAACATAGTCTTCTTGCTCTCCAAAAAAAGTATTTTTTGGAAAACAAAAAAACGACCTAATTTAATGTGGAAAATATGCTCTTTTTAGGATTCGATAAACGACGGAGTTATATGGGTGTTTAGTAAAAATAAAATTATTAAAATGGTCGAGTATTGACATACTCGTAAATAAAAAAATTAAATAAATATATATAAATAAAAAATGTACATATAAAAATAAAATAAATGAATCAATGAGTTGCGTTTTACATTTTTCCTGATGATGAATTTTTAATTCGAAAACGGTCGTATAACACACTTATCATAATACTTCAGACAACATATTGATTAATTCATTTATTTCATTTTTATATAAACGTTTTTTATTTATATATTTATTTACTTTATTTGTCTAATAGTTACTGATTTTAAATAATCTCTCCTATTAAAATAAATTATTTCTATATTCTATATAAAACGATCAATTTGTATTCATTTTTTTTGTCTATGTATTCCTTAATTTAATTTTTTATATTCAGTCACGTTTTACATTTTGACTATAATATACCTGATGATGAATTTTTAATTCAAAACCGTTCGTACAATACACTTATCATAATACTCCAAGCGACACATTCATTAATTAATTTATTTTATTTTTATATATATATATTATTTATATCTTTATTTACTAGATTAATCATCATTGCTAACAAAAAACGATTTCGAACGGAGTTCGGTTGTATGTGTTTTAAAAGGCCGTAACGTTTACGACTTTCAGCAACATTTGATATTAAAATTCTAATAAGAAAATCTACATTAAAGTCAAGTATTTCTTATTAACCACTAAGTATAAATAATAATGAAACTTCTGTTACATTTTCAAGCATTTCTGTGGACTCTTATACTTTTGTATACAGATTATCTACCGAATAAATATTATATAAAACTTATAGAACTAAAATGTCTATAAATAGCTAAAAATCTTTTAAAATTGTATAACGTTTTTACAATGCTAAAATAGGATTTCTGTCCAATTTTCAAGTCTCCACGAACATTGACTGAATTACAATAAAAACACAAAATTGAAAATAATAAAAGAACTATATTCATAAATTGTACGACGTAAATCGTATTTCCTACGTCTTTTCCGAATTATTTTGAAAACCTCGCGTTGATCAAAATCTAGTGTGAAGATCTGCTAAAATTTCTGAAATTTACGTGAATTCACATTCTACCTACATTAAACATCTAGTTAACTTCAATACATCCGCAGAGAACGTAATATTAAATTCTACGTGAACAAAGTAGCGAGTAGCAGCCGAGTAGAATAATAAATAATCGAATTATATAGTTCATATTATATTGCCAGTTTATCCTAATCGAATGAAATATTAGAGCAAATAGTAGCACGAAATCGAAATTTTTAATATGCATATAATTTTAAAATTATATAATAGAAAATAATGATTTTGAGTTGTCTATAATCAGTACAGCGTTACGTTCAATATGTCGTATGGGCAAATAGGTTAAAGTAATTAAATAAACTCATTAGCGGAATTTTAAATTCCGTATTTTAAGTGGTTTTAAGTTGCAAATATACAAAGTCATTTTGCATAAATTGTTATAACCTCCTTATAAATCGTTTTATATATTTCTTCTTAATTGTAAAATATAATTTCAGTCATAAATTACAATTCAACTTTTTTTTTCATTATTTTTATTTAATCGTAATATTATAATATGATTACATTATTATTATTTTATTTTTCGCAGGAGATATTGAAAGTAAAAATTATATGAACTCATTTGATACTCCCAAAAATATACCGGAACAACTGAAAAAAAATATTCTAAATGTCCAAAGGCGTCGCCAAAAGACTCGAGTCATAAAATATAAAAAAGTAAAAAATAGACGGAATCAAATATGGAGACAGAAAAACAAAAATGAAAGAGAACGAAGGTCGGTAGAGGAAACAGGATATTCGGAGAGAGAGGATCCGCAAGAGGAAATAATAAGGATTAATCAGGCCGCACAAAGAGATGATCAGGAAGATTATATGAGGAATAAACAGTCCACACTCATGTGGTATTATTGGTGGTATAATACATTCATTGCGACTACTCAACGAACACTTAACGGTAAGTAAATTAATAAAATAGAGAATTTCTTTCCTGTATTTAAATAAGAAAAGTAAAATGGGGATTATTACGGGATAGACTTGTAAAAATGGGACAAAACATGTCCCATATAACTTTCGTCAGGACAACGATGCATAAAATTAAAATACGGAATAATCCCTTATAATACAGGATGTAGCAGCTAAAAATATGCAATAAAAATGATAAAATAATTGAAATAGAACAAATGTTTCACAGTCTTAACGAATTAACATTATTTTTTTAGTTACGACTGAAGCTCCTCGAACTATGATGCCTTTATATAAGATGATTTTTCGTCATAGTAAGTAATAGTTATCATATATTATAATTTATTAAAGCTTCCACTAATGTGTTAGCACTGTTAATTATAACATATTACAACGATAATATGTTTAATGTATTCTTATTAGTTGTTCAAAAAAACCGGTAGCTTTGACGAGGATGTGACATATAGGATTAAGTGTGGTTGAATTAAGTGAAAACAAACATCAGGTGTTTTATGTGACAAGAGTATGAAGAGACCGGCTATGTTGAATGGGTTGATGTGTTGAGCAGTAGACAGAAAAATAGAACAGTTAATGAATGTAGCAGAGATTAAAATGTTTAGGTGGATGAGTGAAGTGAAGAGAGAAATTAGGATACGAAATAAGTACATAAGAGCTAGTGGTGGCTTAGGTAGGCTTCGACAGTGGATAAAATGAGAGAAAATATACAGAGTGTATTTGGGCAACTCATGGGGAGAAACGAACCAGAAGCAGTATGAAACGTAATAAGAATGGAAGTAAGAAGAACGAAGAGGAATTTATATGAGGATGTTGTGGAGGATCGGGTCAAGTGGAAGTTTAGGACTGAACGAATAGTTAACGGTAAGTAAATTAATAAAATATTGAATTTCTTTCCTGTATTTAAATAAGAAAAGTAGAATGGGAATTATTACAGGACAGACTTGTAAAAATGGGACAAAACATGTTCCATATAACTTTCGTCGGGACACCGATGTATAAAGTTAAAATACGGGTTAATCCCGTATAATACAAGATGTAGCAGCTAAAAAAATGCAATAAAAATGACAAAATAATTGAAACAGAACAAATACACTTTACCACAGTTCTCACGAATTCAATTTTTTTTTTTTTAGAATCGTCTACTACATTAAAACCGACTAAAAGATATTAAATGAGATACAATAAAAGCACAACCGTTCAAAAGCAGGAGTTGAAGCAGGCACCAGGAGCTATCAAACCTATGCTATACCATAACATCTTCCATGTATTCGATCTATTTTGACCACGCCATTCACTTTTTTTTTATAATTTGTTTATAAATATTATTTTGAAACCGTCCTTACCTTTCCCAACACCGACTTTACCTTTTCCATACAATCATAAATCCTATCACACACATACCTATACCTACCTACGTAAACACATACATATACACACACGCACACACACACATATCATATTTTAACACAAGAAATATTTGATTTTATGACATTAGTAACTTAATTTAGAATATAAACAACAAAAATGTATAAAAGTAATTCGAATGCTGAATGATATGAAAAAAAAAAAAAAAAAATTGATATTATTACTATCATAAGATTAACCGCTGTAATAGCTATTTATATTAAATCGCATTCATAGTAGTTGATCTGAACTTTGTTTTGTTAAAAACGTTTTGGATAATACGAGTATATAATTAATATTTTTCGTGGTGAATTTCATAATAAATTAAATGTACAATGTGGGGAAATATTTTCGATTATTAAAGGACCACGAAACAAAAAAAAAATGACTTTGGCCTAACAAATAGATAATTGTTTAATATAACTAACGGTGGTACTAAAATTTGTATACGTCGAATCGTTGAGGCGCTAGAGCCCAAGAGAGATAGCCGCGTGACGTCACAAGATCACACGGTGCGGCGGCGGCGGCCTATACTTTTATACGGGAATCGCCGACGTGGTCTAGGATATTTATTTATAATTTTTGTTACATTCTATTCAATTATAAATAACCTCGTAGTAACAACAATGAATGGGCGCATAAAAATACTCTGTTTGAATAATTATGTTTTCATCCAAAACAAGACGTATTCTAACGTATTTCCAGACGTATTCGTTGAAGAACGTAGATCAATCGCATTTTACACGTTTTTTTAAACTAACTTATTTTTTTAACTTTCATATTTTCATCGTTGGGATCTTGTTTTATAGAGAAAGTAATGTATTATAAATTATAATATTATAATAGTCATTTTTATTTTATTTATTAATAATAATTTGTTAATTACATACATATTTTATATAAAGTTGAAATAGTTAAGTACTCATATTTTGTTATATTATAGGAAGTGTTCTCGCATAAGCAAAATATGTTTTATAACAATTTGTATTTGTTTTTGATAGTATATCACAAATATTCAAATATGTCAATATATCCATATAGTTTTGAGCTCACTGTGAACGATATTGATATTGCTAATATTCGGCCAGATACATATGAACCTAATTTATAGCTTTTATGTTGTTAAAAATTATTGTGTAGATGTGATACATAATGTATTTGAGGGTGTGCGTCATTATGCTACATTAATAAATATTGTATTACAACACAAATATTTTCTTTATCAAATTAAAAAAAAAAAATTTTTAATTATGGCCCCATTTAAATTAGTAATGTATCTCCTGAAATACTAGAAATGCACTAAATTAAATTTCGTTTAGAAAAAGTCTGCGAGAGAGATGATGACATTTTTATATTTTTTTTTTTATTATGATTGAAGATTTAATACTCGAAAATGACAAAGTGTAAAACTTTTTCTTAACACTAGTTAAGATAATTAATTCATTATTCTCATCCCATTTCACTTAAAGTAAAATTTTAAATCTTAAACAATTAATTTTTCAGCATAACTTAATGTTTGTTAGAATCTTTCATGACACATTAAAACCTAAACACCACCTTTTAATTCATTACCCTACAATTATTCAGTACTCAGGACCACTAACAATTATTGGTGTTTTAGGTTTAAAGGTAAGCATAAGAAATTTAAAATGTATGCACGTGTAGCATCATCTTGCAAAAATATCACTTTAACTTAAACTAAAAAATTTTAGTATAAATTTGTTCACATCTTATTACAAGCCAATCAAGAACTTAATTTAAAAGAAAAACGCATAGTACATAGTTTACATTCAAAAAAAATATACAACTTATTTTTTCTTATATCTGTTAATTTTTTTTGTTACAACCAAATACATTATAAGGGAACAAAATATAAAATGGCATAATACTTAACAAAATGTATAGAAAAAATTAATTTATTAGAAATATCGGAAATTATAGTTTTTAACGATTTCCCTAATTAAAGTTCACATGATAGTTAAACAGATAAAAGTAAAAAACTTCCATTCACACTTTGAAGCATTTAAAGTTAATAATGAAAGAAGAATTATGAATTTAAAATTTATAGTATAGACGAATTTAGTGGACCACCCATTAATATTACACCAACTTCTTTAAGGAAGTTAATGGCACGATAAAAATAATTGTTTTAATATCTTATGCTTATTGTAAGTAAATTTTGTAAATAGATTAATAAGGTTAATAACTGATGCATTGATTGACATATTGGTGCAAAATATGCAAAATGATTTAAATGATATTGAAAATGATCAAAATGTAAATTTTACAATTTTACTTTTACGAAGATAAGATTGTGCTTTTCTCACTAAATATAATCTTCAAATTAGAATTAGATTCAATTAGATTACGACAAATTCAAACCGCTCGAAGTGTTTAACATTATCAATACCATGTTGAAAAAACGTAAAATTTGTGATGGACGTCGAGTATTCAATTAATCATGGACGAATTTATGTTTTTTTTATCGAAAAAAAGTTAACTGTTCTCCTTAATTTGCTAAAAAAACTATTTTATCTGTAAAAAAAAATATAATGTTAAACGTCACTATGAAACAGAGCATAAATTAATTATGTATCTAATTTACCTACTAAAGTTAAAGAATTAACTTTGATATCTTATGGGTGTAACTATCAAAATAGAAACAAAAATTTGGCTTCAGCTCTTAATATGGTTGCAAAAAAAAAAATTTATTATGAAAGAGCAATTGTATTTATCTAAAGGGCATACCATTATGGAAGCAGATGTTCACTCAACATTAGAAAATATCTTTAAACCTCTACGAGTATGGCGCTACAGTACCCTATTCACAAAAAAAAAAAAAAACGATTCGCAGGTATACAAAATCTTTAGGGGAATTACATTACTAAACGTACACAATAAGACACTGGCGAATTACTAATTAGATAGAATAAAATCAATTGTGGAAGAAATAATTGGAGATAACCGAGATGGTTTTAGATCGAATAGATTCGCAACAGATCAAATTTTTGTGATTAGGTAGACACTTGAAAAAATGCGGAAGTCCAATGAAAATATACATATTTTATTTATAGATTTTACAAAGAGCCAATGACTGTATCCCATAGAACGAACTTAATTAATATTCTTAAGAAATTTATGTTTCCAAAAAGCTAGTTGATCTTGTAAAAGCCAGTATAAATGGAACAAAGATTAAAGTAAAGCTGACACATACGGCATCGCATTTAGCGGAAGTAGCGACAGGTCTTAGACAAGGAGATGCGCTTTCCCCGATTCTATTTAACCTAGTTCTGGGGAAGATAGTTAGGGAAATGCATTTATGCGAAGGAGTTGGTCTAGGCCGTTTGACAATAAATATCTTGGCATATGCGGATACTATTGCGCCATTGGATATTATTACGGTTATTATTATTATTATTATTGGAGATTGCCGTGAAGATTTATTTCGATATCGTCCAAAAAAAAAACATTCTCAATTATGTTACTGCTCTGCGTACATGTATATGAGAAAAATTGGCATAATTTTACCGTTTGAAGATGAAATTACCGTTTCAAGATGGTCGAATTCGATTAATTGTTCACCTGGGTTAACGGAAAAATATACAAAACAATTAAAACTGAAATTATACGATATGACACAGTCTGATAAAATATCACTTATGCATAAGATGTACCCTAATATAGATAGATAAGTAGGTATTAAAAACGAAATGTTACCGAAACGTATCCTTTGTAACGCGGCTGTTACAAAAAATGTACGCGAATCCCGTTTGCTCTCCGAAATACAACCCAAACAACACTAAACGCCGCACGTTATCGACCACCGCCGACGATATCAGACCCGCGACGACCGTCGAAGGAGTCTGATCATTCTACAGTGCGTTTCACGACAACTGCGACTCGGCTCTAACGCGCCGTGTGGTATTTTTTCATTGTTCATGGTTTCAAATACTGGCGCGCATAATACGCGGTAAAATTCTTATAATTGCTATATGCATAATAAAAAAACACATCTGCTCACGCAAAACAACGGGACATAAAATAAACACGCCTAGCCGATGTTACTTTATGTTTGCATATAGTATATATATTTTTGTTTTTTTTTTTATTTTCGCTTTATTTTCGACATAAAACGGATACGTTTACGCTAAAAATGGTTTGATTATTTTTGATTTTGTTATTTTATTGTAATTCGGTTAAAAATTATCGGAGTGACCTGACATTTTCACAGAATACTTATATTTTTGGGCCATTTATAGATATTTGAAAATGTTGAGTCTTTTTTTATAAATAACAAAAACAAGCATGGTTGAAATTTTTTAGAAAAATAATTTACGTGCAGCAGCCTCGAAAATATACCCTCTTAAAAATATGTCGTTACGCGTATTTAAATAACTGCAATATTAACCGAAAGGAGACGATGTTCCAAGTAACAGGTAGGTGTAGATGTAGGGTAAGCATAGATGTACGTGTAGGTGGGGAGAGAGTAGTGGAGTATGATTTATGCGGCGGCAGGGCACGCGACGTTTTATTAAAGCTCCACTACTTTTCACCTGCCTAAACTTAAAAGTGGAATATCTCGTTAACGGGTAGACGGAAATCGAAAATTTTGGTACCAAAATTTATTTAAAGTAATACTTCGTCTGTTTATGTAATTTTTAATTTGGTTTTCGTTTGAATAATTAAAGTTGGTATCACCACAGGATACTTCTTAAACGTCGTGAAACATCTAAGTATTCGAAAATATCGGTTTAGCTACACTTAAAAATTCCAAAATTTAAATACATACATGCAAAATGTAACCAAAAAAAAAAAAAAGGGGTGAGCACGCTTAATGAATCACTGTGTATATGTAGGTACCTGACCCCAGGTGGCTTTGCGAATAATACATTTTGTATAATGTGGTCACTTGTGTTGTTGCATTACGAGTCACGATCGCGGCTCAAGGCAATTACAATGCGTATTTAATTACTCGATTTGACGATGCGCCCCGTATGTACGCGCGAATGAGTGGAATCGTGGAACAAAACGACAATGATCGAAAAGAAAAACCGTGTAAAAAAAAAAAAAAAAAATCTAAAAAACTGCTACGGGTGTGTCACGTTTGGGAGAGAGGTCTGCAGGGATAATGTAATAATTGAGTGACGTGATTTACGGTCTGTTACACGTAGCTACGCGCAACGACAAACCGTCGCTGATGGAGAACAACTCGGAGTTGTGAAAAGAGCGCACGTCTTGAAAACCGTATCCGTCGGTCGAAATATCGTTAATGTCATTACAGTCAAAACTGAAAACGACGTGCGCGTATACTTACGACAATGGGTTTCCCCCACCCCTCCCACTGTCATTGTACAGGGTCCCGCGCGCGCCGAACGCGTCCGCGTAACGCCGTGCGAGACCATTCGGCCGGATTCGACGACGGGCACGCCGACCGTTTGGCGAACGGTCGACGGCGTACTTCACGCGCGGGACAAATGTCGCCCGTCCGTTTTCAGGAGGCGGACAAGTCGCGCGCGATACCGGAGACGATACGGCCGGCCCCGGCACGGCCCACCGTCGAACGGATCGAATGACCGCGCGCAACGTTTGTGCGGACCGACGCGTCGGACTGTCGACGCCCGTACGCCAGCAGACGCGATACGTACGAAACATATGTCGACACGGGTAAAACGCAACGAGCAATAAATAATTATCCACTTTTGTTATACGGCCGGTAGATAACGGATTGTCGGTATTCACGTGGTACCGTGTTTAAAGAAAACTGATTTCGGATTGTTTTCGCAACGCTGTCACATATAAATACGAAATAATACGGGCTTATTATTAAAATTGGTTCGACCGATTGATTTCGCTACCCGTTTGTATTTCAAACTGTACACGTTAAACGTTAACGTGTACACCGCTAATCTGAAAACCATTAAATACATTTGCGTATAATACGGGCGAGATGTGGGCAATCGATTTCATAAGGTTCATCGTTACGGCGACGATTAGAAAAAAATACACCGTGTGTATATTATTAAGTTATTTAGAAAAAAAAAATAAATAATAAATCGTTATAATTATTTCGTAACCGTAGTCCGTTGATAAATTGTGCGTACCGTTGGTCATGCCGTTACGTATACGTACGTGTACAACACGATTGGACTCGACATTACCGTATTATTGTTGTTAACCTACCTATAAAATGAATTTTTTTCAATTTTAAGTATTGCATCGCCGTGCACGGCGTATGGTGTCGAATGACTGCTCTGCGTTCGAATACCGGTAAACAGTACGTGGGGTACAAAGTCCCTGCGGTTTTCGAATTTTGTCAGGACCGCCGGTACAGTACACGAGAAAAACAACGCACGCGCGCGCAACAAACAACGTCCGGCTGTTACGTCACGAAACCGCGTACGACCGCGGCTGGTAACGGCTGACGCGCAAAACTTGGTGTACGGCGGCGTGTTACAAACCGACGGCGCGGTTTCGATTAAAACACGTCCCGTTTCGATCGGCAATATTTTTTCCACGTTAACCATTCGCATCACGGGGAGGCAGCGTGCGAGTGAACCGACCCCGACGTGTTCGCAAAACGATTTTTCTCTCGCCGCTCAGAAAAATTATCACACATTTTATTTCGTGCCGTTTCGTGTTCGCACGAACACGAATGGGTGTTACCGTATACGGTTATATTGACAGAACGATTTGTCGTGTCGCGCTGTGCTGTACGATGCTTGCGAATCGCGCTTAATGCCTACACCCACGCCGGTTCCTGTTAACGATTTTCCATGCGATTCGTTGACGGCGAGAACGAATAATGTTATTTTTCGGACAAACGATTCTATGAGCACGGCCGCAGAGGTAACCGATTCATAACTCACCGCGGCGACCGGCCTTCCTCCAAGGACGTCTCCCGTTCATAAATACCTATAATGCGACGTAGTTACCTCCTCAATCATTAGTCGTATATAACCTTACTTTTTGTTACCGTTACACTAATAAAGTGGTTTTATTACTCGTACTTGTGTCTTTTATCCGTATCGACGACACCCAACGCCCAGATTCACTACTTATACTTATACTTTTTCTAGTCTTTTTCTTTTGAAGTCAAAAAGACGTCCTAGGATAACGGGGACCGGGTGCAGCCACTGTACAGGTAATTTAATATATGTTGGGAAAACTAGTGCGAAAATTAAAATACGATCTCTCCAAAGTACCTCCCCAGCCAGATTTCCCTGCGTAAAAGTGCTATCATTGTAAATCGGAGCAAAATCGCGGGTGGAAAAGTTGTCCACAGGAAAAAAAAAAAAATTAAACGTCTTTGTAAAACCATAAGCTTCTTCGCTCCACTCAGAATCTAAAACGTACACTAAACAGTGCAACGGTTGTCTGATATGTATTTTCTATAAAACAGTTACCAATGAACGGTCATAGAATATTTTTGTAATATCATTAAAATGTGATCATGAACAATATTTAGTAATAAAAAAATGTATTATATATTTTGTACAGAACGTACTCGTGTACAATAATATAAAATGTGCCGCTTGTGCGGTTACAAATTATAATTATTAAAAACGTCAACGTAAATGACTGTATCTGTAAGCATTAGCGACGCAGGATTATAATGAACGCATAGAACCGAATCTATAAACACTTTAAAACGATTAAGATAACAAGTTAAAAAAAAAAAAAAAAAAACAAATTTAATATAATCGTTGCGTTAAAACGCCTATACGTATTATAAATTACGTTCGTTTCACTATAAACAATAATTATTTGTCGAACAAACAATATGTGTACAATGACTGTAGCCAGTGCACACAATAAATATGCTGGACATTTATGACGAAACGCTGATGACAGCTGTGTCGTCCGGTCAATATTTAATAGAACATCCCTCCTAACCAATAACGACAGCAATAGTAAACAATACCTCGTACACTATTTATTACGAGCGAATTCGGTCGAAACAAACAAACCGCGGCCAGCTCATATGGGTAACGCAGTGGCGTGTTTTAACGAGAGCGCCGGGTGGGACCCGAAACACATCCCCGTGGTCCGACTTCCGAACTGTCGTACGTACCAAATGAGGGGAGAACGGAGGAAAATCGAACGGTTCTGACGAGAAAAAATAAACAGCTCTGCTACGGACACTCGACTTTCGCCCGAGTAGCCACCCGGCCCGTACGCGCCCACAGGCTACGGCGCGAGTGAACGCGTTTTTGCCGTATCACCGCGTCTAAAATGAACAAAAACGAGTTATACGTTCACTCTGTAGGACATTGATATTTGCGTATGCCCCCCCCCCGCCGAAAACTACGTTAATAATTATTGATCGGCGCGATGTGTATCGGCTCTCTCGTCGTACCACGTTATCGGTACCTACTTACCTACCTACCCGACGTATCGGTAACGTCGCGCGGCCGTATACCCGACCGCTTATTACCTTGGCCGCCGAACGCGGATTGCCATTACCGCGCACCGACCGGGCTCAGTACCCGTCGAACCGCCGGACCCGCCGCAGTCAACCGCGTCTCCGAATATTATTGACCGTTTTTCGCGCGGAACAACGTTATCGAGTTGTGCCTGCCCGCCGGTATTCCGCGACTTTACGTCGGCGGCGAATTCGGTGTCGACAATCCGATCGTCCGGACTCGCGTCGTTGGTTAACGTTATAAATTAATTACCGAGATCGAATTCGCGAGATCGGAAACCCTGTCGTCGAACGCGCGCGTTTCGGTTCCCGAAAGATTATCGGCATTGCAGCAATTCGGCGTACGGGTCGTCTGGACGAATCGGTACGGCCCCTGCCGCGTTATCACGTCTTATCGGTTATTTGACCGCCATCGTCTGTTATCACCGCGTTTTATTTACTATCCGCACCGTAATTATCACTCCGATAACGACGTATAATTAACGTACGCCGTCTCAAATTTCGCAATTACCGATTCTCATTCCGACACAACCGAATAGGACACATTAAAAATACAGATTCCGAGCCCGATCATTATTTTTTTATGCCATTGGCCGTGCTGCGCAAATCGTTTGTCGCGGGTAAGTCGCCAGCAACACACGTCGCCGTCCGACAGTGTTTCAAAATGACCACTGTGAACTTTACGGTGGGACTACCAAACTGCCGGACACCATCCGGCGCTGACAAAGTACAAAACGTATCCAAAATGTGTGCCGCCCACACGGCCGTCGACAAACACGTCAAGGTAATTAAACAAACGAAAATTTAAAATTATTTTTTTTTTGTTTACCCGATTTTCGTAAAACGTGCGTTATAGAATGGGATGAAACTGGGCATCGGTAGCGGTTCGACCATCGTGTACAGTATTCAACGATTGGGTAAGGTCATTAAACATATGTATTACTCAAACTGTAGTTAGCCTCTAAGTAGTTGCGTATGTTTGTTGTACGCGTAGCCATATTTTAATGTGTATAGCCCAAAGAGTGAAAGACGAGAGTTTGGCCGTTGTCTGCGTGCCGACGTCTTATCAAGCACGTCAACTGATCATCGATCATAATTTGCCTCTGGGCAACTTGGACACACACCCTATCGTAAGTATTGGAAAATTAAAACATATTACAATGTTTTTATAATTTAAAAAATTTAGTTGGATTGTACGATTGATGGTGCCGATGAAATTGAAACCGGCACATTGACTTGTATAAAGGGTGGTGGCGGATGTCTTACCCAAGAAAAGATCGTGGCTTCTTGCTCTAAACAATTAATAATTGTCGCCGATGGAGAGTAAGTATAAATGTTAATTAATATTTAAGTTTTGAGTTTGCTATTGAAATTCTACGTGTATATATACATTCGAATACTATTTAGAAAAGAGGTTAGTAATTTGGGTGAAAAATGGAAGAAAGGCGTACCTATTGAGGTTATACCAATGGCGTATAAACCAATTCAGCAAAAAATCGAAACAAAATACGGTGGTGAAGCTATATTGAGGATGTCCGCCGACAAAGCGGTGAGTTAAAATCATTTCAATGTGGCGTATAGATAGTGAAGGTTAAATTTGTATTTTATTTTTAGGGGCCTTTGGTTACAGACAATGGAAACTTTTTATTGGACTGGGTGTTCCCAAATGTAAAATATTGTTGGTCATCCGTGCACAATTACTTAAAACTGATCCCGGGTATGTTGTGTGAATTTGATTTCCTTGTATTTTTTTATTAAATCATTATACTGCATCCTTCAGGAGTTGTCGAAACTGGACTGTTCATCGACATGACCAATGAATGTTTGGTCGGTGATGCTCAAGGCAATGTACGATCACTGTTGAAGACTGTACAAAGCATAGAATTGTAAGACATATACTTATGAGATGTTTGTATGTGTGTGTGTTTAGAAGTCAAAAATAATTTTAGTCGTTAATCATAAATTTGCTGAATGTGAAATTTGATAATTGTATGTTATTTCATTATCAATTCAGCTAATATCATTTTTTTTTTTTTACTTCTTTAAATTCTTTTTTTTCGCTATTTTATTATTTTTACTTTCATTTCATAGTTTTTTTTAAAACATTGGCCATAATCAGTTATATTTATTTTACTTCAACAAATGTATTGTTATATTTTATTTGTTAGTGTTTACAATATGACAAGTTATAAGTATGTTAAATAAACACACAAAAATTGAATTAAAAATAATTGGCGTTGATAATATAACCATCAGGTTTTGTTGAAAAAAATATTACATTATAGTTCTTAATGTACCTGGCTATAGTAAAAAAGTTGTTTTGTGTATGCAATTTTCACTATAAAATAAATACCAACCTATTTTGAGATTTAAATTTAAAAACTCTTGCAATGTTACTCGATAAAAGTAGGGGAAGTAGAAAATAAAATATATATAAGTAGAAATTACCTACTTTAATGAAATATGATAATATTCTGAAATGTTCTAGTGTTCATTGGGTGTATGTAAATCGAAATCAGTGTCGGACTAGGTTGAAAAGACCAATCATGGGATCAAACAAATTATCCCTCGATGAAAAAAAAAAATCAAGTAAAAGTAGAATTCGGTATAATTCGTTTTAAAATAAAAAGTATAAACAATAAATTATATTTTATTATGTAATTAAATTAATCCAAATTTATCGAAAAAATGTTGAAATACATTTCACACAGAATTCTTTTTGTTTGCAATAATTCATTGACATTGTAACATTTTACACCGTATAATAATGCATAATATATTTATTTTATTTTCTTCAATAACATCAATAAGATTTTTGACTTTTGTATCCAGGGAGCCTAATCTCAAATCAATTTAAAAGATTGGTTAAATAAATAACTCATTTCAATGTTTGATTTTCGACCAGTCTATTCAATTTCTGATTTATGATCGAGTGTGTTCTCAAACAGTTAGTGAATATTTTAAATCTTAATATTATTTCTGGTAGAATTTTTTATTGTCAAATTGCTTATCTCCAAATTCTTAAAACAGTTCTTATTCCATTAAACCTTTAAATTGTTTTAGATCTTATCAAATAAAATGGGTAGTCTACAGATAATGCAATAAGAATAGTAATAATTATTTAATGAGTTTTATGTAATTTCATTAACTTTATTACGTGCTTCTTTAAGATTTACCAATGTACAACAAAAAACAGTGCATTTGATAGATATGGACACTCATCCTAAGCGTACTAAAAGAAAATTAGGAAACAATTTTAGTAATAATGATGCTGACTAGGATGTTCTTAACAATTATAATTTGTAACTGTACAAGTTAAATATATTATATTAGTATATGCTCTGTGCAAAATATATAATGTTTTTAGTACTAAATATTGTTTATAATCATATTTTGCCGTCTTTCAAATCACTAATTATAATTGCATTATAGAAAGTAACAATCAAACAACCATTGTACTGTTTAGTTTACATTTTTGACTTTAATTATAATACAGTTACAATCATTGTCAGCCCTAATTAGCAGTCGTTTCCACAGGTCTTATAGTTAAGTACCAAGTACATTATGTAGATCAGTTAGAAAACGTGTACACCCAGGGCACAGAGCATGGGCTAAGCTGAGCTGACCGTGTTCTACTCCTCTATGTTCCCCAACATCTTGTTGATAACTTCCACTTACAATAAACCTTAAAACTGTTAGTACCTACAATAAATAAAAAGTGTTGTGATGTTGGTATAGGTACTAACTTAATGCTTCAAGGTATTTTAAAGGTACATATTTTGTTTATTAGTAAAACTAATACTATTCACCAAAAAAACATACAGATTTTTGATTATATTAACTACCAAATTTGTTATTTTTTTTAAACGACCAACAGTAATCAACCAAACCAAAAGTAACAGACTACAATATTCAATAGTAACTAACTTTTGATCGTTATTCCTAAAGATATTGGACTGTTCATAAACGTAGTCACAGTGTCTACAAGCTCTCGCACCAAAGTATTACTCAAACGATACCTACTTACGTACCTATACATTTCTGATCCGATAACAATATTAATTATATTTTACATTATTCCGAGTTTCAAATACTAAACAGCAATAGAAAGATAATAATAACGAGGATTTCAAAAATTAGAATCGATTCATAATTGCATTAAGCATGATCACTCACCTTCAAATTGATGTTCCTGTACTTGCCACTGTTCACCTAAATAAAAATATCATCTTCGTCAGCCATAGTATAGTATTAATCAGTGGCGTACATTCAAATTTAATCTGGGGGGGGGGGCGTTGAATAAAAATACCAACACTAACACCTTCTCTTTAAAACTACCCATTTTCCTAACAATCAAACGCGTTACACGTATAAATATTGATAGATGATATTTTGATAGGAAAATTGTAATTAATTTCAGGGACCCAAATTTTGCTCAAAATTTCTTCGATTTCACTTTG